GGGAGATGGGAGTTAGTGTTTATGGCATTCTCATAGCCTCTTTGCATCACCTAACTTCCTGTTGTTTTACATTTACTCTTTAATTGCAGCCTTAAGGCAGAGCTCTCCAGCTGACTTCACTTAACAGGCACTTGCTGACAGACAAGTTCAAATGAACTCACTTCTTAACTAAGATTTATGGTTGTTTGTCTTCTACTGAAATACCCTCCCTTCTGTGAAACTGCTTGTTCCAACCCAAGCCATGCTGTCTTCACTCTGTCTCCTAAATCTTTACAGAAATACTCAGTGGACCTCACTAAGTGGTAGTTGGGCCGAGCATGTCTTGAAGGCAGTTAGGCATGGGCAGACTGGCATACATTAGCTGCTCTCTTGGGATTGTTGTTGAAGTTACTTACTCGGTTAACAAGAGAAAACCTGAAGCAGCAGCATTTGCTCAAGAAGTGGTGACCATTAATAAATCCTTTCTGACATCTTGTAAATTACCTATCATTATGATCTCCATCTTCCTGAGGAGAAATGTCAGGTCACTCCCCCCACACCCAACTGGCCCAACAAGGCTTGGAACCCATACACCTGGGTCTGGGTTAGTAATCTTAATAACTATATTGATGACTGTCTAATCTGTTAGAAATCTATGGACATTTCAGGTCAGAAACTTTAGGGTTATTTTATTTCACACTTCTTTTATTTTGATCATTGGAAAATAATTTTTATAATTGAAAAGATAATTTTCCTCTACTTAAATCCTTTTTTTCAGAAATAATTATAAGAACTTTATAGTCATTTTATGCTACTCTTATCAACCAAAAGAATATTGAGTTCACCTTCACTCATATCATAAGAGGTGATGTGGATCTTTTGTCCCAAATGTCTTATCTCAGAAAAATGAAAACTTTGCGACTGGTGAAATGGCTATGCTGTCAGGAACCCATACTCTTCCTGTGGGAAAACTTGTGTTTGGTTTCCAGCACCCATGCTGGGTGGCTCACAACCGCTCGGAACTCTAGCTCCAGGGAATCCAAAGTCCTTCCCTGGACTATAGACACCTGCATTTAAAAGGGCATTGCCCACACACTAGCACACCTGCTGGGTGGTTTGAGTAAAAACGGCCCCAGAGGCTCATATATTTGAATACGTGGTCATCAGGGAGTATGGAGTCCACATTAATTCCAATACATTAGCTGCCTGCCTGCTTCATCTGTTGCATGGCCCTTGTAACTGTATCTCTACAGTTACGAGAAGAACAGGTGATTAAAAATGAAGACAAGACCCCAGCTGTGTCGAGAGGGATGTTGACTTGAGTAAACAAATCTCCTGTTAAGCTTGTACAAACACCTCGTTATCACAATTATACTACTAGTTGTAAAACGTTATCACAGGTTATAAATTCCCGGAATGTACCATCACCCAGGACTTAACCTCAAATTATAAAAATTCTTTTCCTGTATCACCCTGTGTCCCCCCCACACACACTTACGTGTTTTTCTTTAAAAAGGACCATCACAGTGTCAGAAGCCCTAACTAGTTAGACATTCTGGTACCCAGTGGTGATGGAATAAAGTTGCCTCTGCTCATCATACTTTGGGAATCTTGTCCTCAACATTTGTGTGACTCCCAGACCCAACAGGAGAGGCGGTACTTGACAGGAAGTGTGGCCTTGTTGGAGGAAGTGTGTTACTGGGGATGGGCTTTGGGGTTTCAAGTGCTCTGGCCAGGCTCCGTGTTCTTCTCTCCTCCTGCTGCCTGTAGATCCAGATGTAGAACTCTCAGGACTCTCCAGCACCGTATCTGCCTGCACACTGCCGTGCTTCCCACCATGACAACAATGGACTAAACCTCTGAACTACAAGCCAGCCCCAATTACATGTTTTCCTTTATGTGAGTTGCCATGGTTATGGTGTCTCTTCACAGCACTAAGACTTAAGATATATGCATGCATATAACTCTTTTAATAAAATCCTTTTATATTATCTAGATCACTAATCACCCTTTAACTATGCTATCCCAATTGTAGCTCCTACAGATTGCAAGACAAGGGTGTGTGGTTCATCTTCTTTCCTGCAGGCTAAGGGCAAGCCCAGGACTCAAGTTAGATATTGTAGAACTCTTTCCAACCCAAGGCATACTTCAGTGGAACTCAGAAAAGGTATCCACACAATCTTATTAACAAGTGTCCGATTAGTGTGGAAGAGGCTGTGTGTGTTCATGTTGTTGGTGAAAGTGTCTGCTATTGATAACAACAGAATAGCCGGAATCTGCTCTGCAGACTAACACTTCCCTCTGCGTGACTGTTTGCTACACACCATTTGTGGGTCTCAATATCAGTGTTCCTCCAACATTCATGTACTGGGACCTAATCACCAGGGGGCATTTAGGAGCTCAGGATATGGGGTCTGTGCTCTCATGAGTGAGACTGAAGGAACCCAGTTCAAGCCACTGACTTCCTTCTACCGTGGCAGAACCATAGAAGGCACCATGTAGGAAGACCTGCCCTTTACTGTTGATCTAACTTGTTCCTGGTTTCAGCGGTAAGTACAATGACCAGAGCAACTTGGGAGGAAAAGGTTTATTTCATCTTACAGCTCACAGTCCGTCAACAAGGCAGAAACACAAGGCAGGAACTTAAGTAAGACCAAGGAGGCGTTTTGCTTACTGACTTGCTCCTCTGACTTTTCCTATACAGCCCAGGCCCACCTGCCCATGGGTCGTGTTACCCAGAGTGGTCCTCCTCCATCAGTTATCAGCCAGGAAACTGCCCTTACAGACATGCTCACAGGCCAGTCTGATGGAGGCACCTCTTCCTTCAACTGACACGCCCTCTTCACAAGCGTGTCAAGCTGACAGCCAAGATTAGCCAATACAGTCAGACCCTGCCTCTGCTAACACTCTGATCTCTGACTTCCTGGCCTCTAGAGTTTGGAGAAATGAATCTCTATCTTTAAATTGTATTTGTTAAAGTTTTTGTACAAGTATATATTATATACTGAGTATATGCCTCCCCTTCTTCCCTCTTCTCCTCTCTCCCTGCACCTGCTAGTCCCCTTTGTCCCATTAGCCAGTTTTGCTCTTACTTCCTTGTTGTATACACACGCACAATTTTATGTGTTTGTATGAAATCTAGAAGCACAAGTAAGAGAAAGCATGACATATTTGTTTTTCTCAGACTGGCGTAATTCCCTCAATACAATTCTCTCCTATTAAATTCCCTTCTTCCTGTTTCCCCTTTCCGTTCGTACCTGCTGCCTTTGAATGGGTAATAGTCTTCTGTCAGGATATGAAGAAATTGAGCCTTAATTGAATTGACCACAGATGGCGGCCGTGCGGGCTGTCGCTTTCTGGAGTGCACAGTGCCCGCCACAGTGGCCCCTCTTCGGTGCTGCGTGCCTGGCTCCTCATGTTTAGTAACACCTGAAAGGCCGAGCAGGGTTCCCTCTCATTACATTGATGTGCCAATAATCCATCTGTAGCATCTGAAATGCTTCAGTAATGCCTTTGGAGGTGAAACCCCCATTAATATCCAGCTTGCAAGCACCCCCCTCCACTTAACAAGCATGGGTTTCTTTGTCCTTCACTGGTACAGCCAAGGCCATCGTGGAATCCTTGGCGTCCACTGACCCAAGCTGAGTTTCTGTTCTTTATAAATGAACAACTCTGAGATGTTTTGTTATAGCGGTCAAGATAACCAAGGCGACTGAATGAGGAGGGACCGTTCCTGTCTCTCTAATTAGGGTTCCAAAATGATTAAGGGCAAAGCTCAGGTCGAACTATGTAAATATTATTGAAACACCACATGGTACTCCATAAATACATATAATGTTTATGTTTTTATGTTAGGGAAACCAGAGGACTGTGGAATATGAAAGCTGGTCCAACAACGATTAGACTAGTAAACACTGGAGCCAAAATCAGCCACGTCCTAGGTTGTAGGTCAAACTTTGTCAGCCGACCAATCCAGACAGTATGTGAATGACAGTAGCCCTACAAGCAATTAAAGTGAAAAGCCTAATTTCACTTTAATCCCAGAGAAATATGCCCAGAAAATAGACGAGTGGATGAATCCATATCTTTGGTTTCTTTTAATTAATGAGAACAATAAAGTGAAAATGGAACAAAGAATAATTTTTTTAAAAAAAAGTTGAGGGCAAGCTGCTCTGAGTAATTTGTCAAAGAGGAAAATAAAAGGAAATGGCTGAAGGTGTGAGACAGGTGAGAGAGGCGAAGCCAGCGCACTCCATAAGGACAAGGGGAGACACACAACCCAGAGAGGAGAAGCCAGCACGCTCCCTAAGAACAAGGGGAGACACACAGTTCCGAAGACAAAGGCTTGCCTCGTGCCCAGATGCTGAAGCTTCTTTCCAAAGGGCACAGATGTGAGCATGGGGCTCCACAGTCATCCAGAGGAAGCTTCTAAAGTGCACCACAAATGCCTTGTACAGAAAAGAATACCAAACAGTGCCAAGCAGGACCTCAGTGGGGACCAGCATTAGTCAGAACGCCGCGGAACAATCTGAAATGGCAGAGTGGTATCTGGGAGGCTTTGAGAAATTTGAAGGAGAATAAGTGACACCCGGAAAGGGAATCCCTGGTGTCTGCTGACCCAAGCTGAGTTACTGTTCTTTATAAATGAACAAATTTATAAAATGTGGGAAATTCTCCTCTTGTGGGAAGTGAATTGAGAGATCATTCACTCTTACGGTTAAGTGCTATAGGCGGAACACAAAACATAAAAATTCAAAAGCCAGAGGCAAGCAGATCTCCATGAGTTCAAATCCAGCCTAGTGTACATGGTGAGTTCTAGTACAGCCAGAGCCACTTGGTGAGACCCTGTCTCAAAACAAACAAACAAACAAAAATACAAAAGCCTAGCTCATAGCTGAAGAAAGAAAAATCTTCACTCTGGGATGCTACTGAGCAGGAGAAGTGGACAAAATTCTTTCTGGATATTTCTTCTTCCTTTCCAAGGCTCTATAGTAATAATGATTTGTAGTTTCTCTGCTGAGTGACAAACACTTTGAAGCTCACTGGAGCTATTTTTATGTAGGAAATGGATAACATATTAGCCCCTCTCTGTCCGCATACTGGGATAAAGAAGTCTGTATATAGGAAAATGTCCATTCCTTTCCCTGGGATTTTGTGAGCAGAGCAGGGGTGAGGGTGAGAACCCTTGTCACAGGACAAAGGCAGGAGCTGACTGTGGTGATTCTCATCTCTACTTCATCATACCTGCAATACAAAAAAAAAAAAAAAGAAGAAGAAGGCAAAATCAGATATGGCAGCACAGACTTGCATTCCTGAGGCTTGCTGACCGGCTAGCCTAGCCTACTCAGCAAGCCTCAGCCTCAGTTGGAGACCCTCTACAAAAGGAAAGAAATGGAAAGAAAAAACACTGGGTGGCCAAGAGTTATACAGATTGCCTGAGACACTCCTTACTAGCTTCCAGTGCCTCAAGAGTCAGTGAAAACCTTGAGATGACGTGTTCTTCCCTTTATTTGTATTTGATATATGTGGGGCCAAAGGGTACAAATTATTCTCTGCAGGGCCAACCGCTTGGCAAGAGGACGAAGGAGGAAATTTGACAAACCAAAGCCCTGCTTTCAGAATTGGGGATCCAGCCAAGCACAAATAGCTCAGTGTGTCCCCACCAATCTTTAAACACAGATAAGGTAAGTCAAATAAACACCAGCAAAAATCTCTTTAGAAATAACTTCCTTGGTTCTGCTTTCTTATCACAAAATCAACAGTGAGATTTGCAATTGGCCAATAAATATAAGAACGTACAACCGCCAATGAAGACCCCAACTAGAAAGCACTCAGCATTCTCGTCCCTTTGCTTAAGTATTTCAAAAGCCCAGTGCCGAATACAATAGATACTGAATGGCTAAAGAAAGGTATTCTTTGCTTTTCTCTCTTTTTTTTTCTTTTCTTGTGGTTATCAAAAAATCGGTACATGAATTGGAGTATGTGTGTGCACCCCTTAATACCAGCACTAAGGAGCCATTCAAAGCCAGCCTTCTCTAAACAGTGAGACCCTGTCTCAAAAACAAAACAAATCATGTAGCACTCCATAGGTGTGCTGCCTGTAATTTATTTATTTCTCTTGGTGAGGAACTAAACAAGCAAGAAAAGCTGCAGAAAGGAGACACCGGTTCCGTGTGGGATGGAGTCAGGATGGGGACCACACACTGCTGCGGGATGTGCTAGATCCCGGTCATGCTACATGACGATACCTGGCACTTTCTAAATGGTGCTTGGGACTGTGGCAACTCCTAAAATACAATAAATAAATAAGTAAACAAACAAACAAACAAACAAACAATGTTAATAGCAGGATACAAATGCAAAGAACCTGAGAAACAGCACAGGTCAAATCTCCTGGTTTAGGAATTGTCTTAGCTCCTTGCTTGCTCTTCGGGTTAGCCTTCTAAAAATGCAGAAATCATCTGTGTTCACTGTCTGCCTCGTGCAGACAGATGTGAGGCCTGCACAACCCCGGGCACAAAAGGAGACGACAATTAGGAATATTCAAGTAGTCAACTAGAGAGCCGGCCCCTCCACAGTCCACCACGTTGTCACTCATTCTGTTTACTGTTGCTCTCTTTTAGGCTTCCATTCTGTGCTCCACTGTGTATAGTTGCTAGGGAAACAAGAAAGGGTGGTGGATGCAAGGATGAGGAAGGGATTAGGAAACCCACACAGTGGGTGAAGTTTATTTAGGTTATAGGAAGTGAGAAAATATACTTCAGCATTTATAATGCCAGTTCTCATGCATCTAGTAATCTAAAAATAGACCAGCTAGGGGCACAAAACTGTCTCCATACTGAAGTTCAAAAGCCTTTAAAGACTGTTGAGTCTAGCTGGGGAGAAATGCAGTGAGACCTGACTTCAATTCATGGGTGACCACTAAGCCAGTATCTGGAGCCTCTACCATCCTTGCATGGTTCTGTTTCTCCTGGTTTTCTGTTTCACTCAAGAAATCAAAGATGATTTTGATATCTATAAGAGGATTGCACAATTACAGCATCAACCTGACCCAGTCAGTCAGCTCACCAAGCTGAACCCCTGTTATTGTTCAATTAAATACCATCCCAGTGTCTCAAGTTCTTCCAGATCCAGGACATCACCTCTGTTCAAGTCCTGTGGCCCAGAGGGAAGAAGAGTGAAAACACACACACACACCACGACGACGATGACGACACCACAAAGTCAGGAGACCCACAGGAGTAGAGGCGGGGACACCAAATTGTCCATCACGTGATCCAGAAGAGCAGGGGCTTAGACACCACAGTGTCTGGAGATCTGGTCTACCTGCTGGGACGATCTGTTTGGATGGCAAAAAGAAGTTGGGTGGAGCAAAGTTTGTTCTCACTTGTTCATTCCTTCAGTTCAGCTAACAGATACTTACCGAATACTTAAAGTTAGCTTTAAGTATTGTGCTACCATGAACAATGAACATCTTTTTAAATTTTGTATTTTATTATTTTATGTGCACGTTGTCTATGTACTGCATGTGTGCAGTGTTCACAGAGGCCAGGACATGTTATTAGATCCAGCCCCCTGGACGAAGAGGTACAGTCATGGTTAGCTGCCTCATAGGCTTAGACTAGAATCCAGACTAGAACCCTCTGGAAGGGCAACTAGTGTTATTGATGGCTGAACAATCTCTCCAGCCAAATAGTGATTATTTTTTATGTCTGCTTCATGGTTTTAAGCCATGCCAAGACCCACAGATAGAGATCAGACCTTAATGATCACCTACTCTTGCGAGACAGGTGGGGTGCTCCAGGACAATGTAGAAATGAATCATTGCACAAGAATACCATAGAGAAACGTCACATGATAGGGAGGTCAGAAACCAGAGAACTTCCCCAATAGGGGGTGAAATGGGGTGTGGTGTGGGAGAGGATCAAGCTGTAAGACAGAGGTCACATTAAAAGGACTCCAACAATGGGTTTGCTTCCGAGCTACAGAAGTGGAAACTGGAGGAGAGAGAAAGAAAATGGGGAGGACAGAAGGTTGCATTTGTTTCCAGACCTAGAACTACTTCAAAAAACATGAAGTCTGTCCCCACTTTCTGCTTATCCTCTGCCTGAGAGTCGGCGGCTCCTCTGGGCTCCAGCGTGTCCCAGCGCATGCACCTCAGCCCACAACTCCTCTGTCTGCTTTGTGGAGGCAGGAAGCTGTGCAACCAAGTCTCCACCTGTGTCCCCTTCAGCTCACTTTCACTCCGAGCCCCTTTCCCTTCAAGGGTAGATAATCTGCTCTAGGAAAATGACTCACCGTGAAGTACAAATTACCAATATTGACACAGCAGGTTACCCCTGAGCAAACTGCACTTTGCCAGATCCGCAGCCTCTGTCCACATAGATGACTTTGGAGCTCAGTTAGCAGGGGTTCCCAGAGTGGGAAGAGGGACTGAGCGCTGTTGAGAGGGGATAGCTCCCCTAGAAATTGCCCACCTTGACTGGATAAGGGATCTAATCTCCATCCCCACGTTTGTGTTTGTGGTGGTCCCTTTACTAAATGCATGCATGATTTAGTTTTCATCAAGAGAGGACCTCTCTATGTAGCCCAGGCTGAAGTCCTCCTGCTTCAGACACTGGTACCCAAAATTACAGACAAACACCTTTGTACCTAGTGGCAAATTTACCTCCTGCTTCCGACACTAGGACCCCAAGATTACAAACAAACACTTTTGTGCCTACCTGCGAATTTACCTTCTGTTTCAGACACTAGGACCCCAAGATTACAGACAAACACCTTTGTCCCTAGCTGCAAATTTACTCTTTAAAAAATTATTACCCTTATGTGCAAGAGTTTCACTTACATGTATGTGTATATACCACATGTGTGCCTGGTGCCACAGAGGCCAGATGAGGGTGTCAGATCTCCAGAAACTGGAGCTACAGATGGCTTTAAACGGACCTGTGGGTGCTGGGAGTCAAACCTAGGTCCTCTGCGAGAGCAGCCAGTGCTCTTAATTGCTGAACCGTTTCTCCAGCCCTCACATTTAAGCTTCTGAAGAGCACTGTTGGCCATCTGGCTTATCCGCACATCAGAAGAAGGCCTTGGCAACAGTCAACACCCAAAAAGTGCTGTTAGTCAACTGTTTAGGGAATTTTGTCTGTTTATGGTACCCTATAGCACAGACCTGAAAAACTAAAGTAAAGAATAGGAAACAAGGAAGCCAGAAATTTGAAAAAAAAAAAAAAAACCACAATTTTATTTTACATGACATTTGCCTTGTTGTTGATTAAGTGAATAGAGCCAACAGCTAAAAAAGACAATTCCTAATTCTCCTGGAAAGGTCAATTTTGTTGACAAAGTGTCGCAAATTTATGCAAATTTGTAAAGCTATCTCTGTATCTATATATAAAATGTACATGTTTAACAAAAAAAAGCACCAACTTAAAAGTATGGATTTAATGTTTTATAAGTAATCTTGAAAGTTAAAAACTCATGACTAAGCACAGATAATAAGTGTCTGTGGGATCTTCAGCCGACAATGGGACATCTGTATTATACCCCTTCCCCCACTACTACGTTCTTGTACCCCAGCAACTGTAATGCAGGTGTAAGGCCAAGTCAACATCCCAATTAGAGGGGGAGGGGCCACACGAGTCTCCACCCTTGCTGAGGAGCTATGGAAGTTGACTTTTTTTTTTTTTTTTTTTTTTTTTTATATTTATTTATTTATTTATTATGTATACAATATTCTGTTTGCGTGTATGTCTCCAGGCCAGAAGAGGGCACCAGACCTCATACAGATGGTTGTGAGCCACCATGTGGTTGCTGGGAATTGAACTCAGGACCTTTGGAAGAGCAGGCGATGCTCTTAACCACTGAGCCATCTCTCCAGCCCCCGGAAGTTGACTTTTTTATATTTATTTATTATGCATACAATATTCTGTCTGTGTGTATGTCTGCAGGCCAGAAGAGGGCACCAGACCTCATTACAGATGGTTGTGAGCCACCATGTGGTTGCCAGGAATTGAACTCAGGACCTTTGGAAGAGCAGGCAATGCTCTTAACCACTGAGCCATCTCTCCAGCCCCTGGAAGTTGACTTCTGCATCAGGGAGAGTCCATTTTGTTTAAGTGTATGGCCTAAGTCAACACATGGCACCACACCCATACATGGACAGTATGGATCGGACTTGGTGATATATATATATATATATATATATATCTTGGTAATATTACTCAAAGTTGATAAAGAATAGGGAT